GCTCCAGAATCCAGAGATCTACCACATGGTCAATCTGCATCCCACACAAAGTCTTCAGCATTAGTCAGCCACGAAAATGTAGAAGAAAGATTTTGAAACTGCACTTCTTCTTCACCAATGCACTTGATAAGTGTTAGTAGATATTAGCTCATATTATTGAAAATAGAAAAGAAGACCCTGGAGAAACCCCTTTTGCAAACAATATGACATATCTTGCAACTCTAGTAACTTGACCTGAAGGGAAAATTATACTATTTTATAGATTTTTCTTTATTCGTTGATGTTTACACACATATTGCTAATTACAGTAGAAACCCTTGTAAAGACACTTGGAATAGACACCTTGGAACCATAGTAACTGGTTCACTTACATTGAAAATAGAAAATCAACATCCAAGAGAACTCCTCAAAGGAATGATTGCCCCCCAGTGGCACAGCGGTATGTCTGCGGACTTACAAGGCTAGAAACCGGGTTTCGATACCTGTGGTGGGCAGAGCACAGATAGCCCTTGTGTAGCTTTGTGCATAATTCAAACACAAACAAACAAACAAACAGGAATGATTGAGAGAGACCTTGGGACTCTGATATTTTATGTTGAATAGGCCTTATTTTTAGACTACACTCAGTCTTTACTATGGCACATGTTAGATATTGGTAAATATTCACTCATATAGAAAACAGGAAAATAAACATCTCGGAAACTCCCTCTGAGAAATTTACAAGGCATCTTGGACCCCTATAAAACTGTTTTGAAAAGGAACTATTTTTATGTTGCACGTGCGTTTTACTATGGCTTCTGCTATATACTGATAAGTATTCACTGAAAAAAAAAGATCAAGAAACATTTACGTTTATTAACTGGTTCTACTAACCACCAAGTTTCAAAAACAAAAACTACTACCTTAGGGGCCCGGTAATGCTTAAGAAGTAATACTATAAATGGGGACGTAGGCGTCGCCCTTCCATTAATCCGAGCCATTGCATAGGAACCATTCGTCTAATGGAAAGTTACCCGGTTACGCACGGGATTAGACGTCACTTTCGTTTGGAATCGGCTTTTCACATTTCGTTACCGACACTCTCGCCCAGTTGAGCTCTCACGTGCAGTATTTAGACTGTAAAATTTAAAAACTTCGAACTCGAACCATTCGTCCTATTTGTTGGAGTGGGAGGTCATCTGGGTTCTTCTACCAAATTTCAACGAAATACGTTGAGCTAGTTTATAACATCTTATGACACGAAACAAACGGACAGTCAACTCTCCTTTAAACACACACACACATATAAATATTACTCACAATTAGCATCATGATTAAAACATTCTACTAACTTTTCGTGAAATATCAAAAGTATAATTCATAAACTAACGTACACGAAACACAGAAACTAACATTTACTTAGTGAAAAAAAACCACAGTAAACGGAACAAACTGTCAGAAGTCTGATATCAGAGAAACTAGTTTCGACACATTCGAGCGCCCTCTTCAATCTCAAGTTGTCTTTGCTGTACACGATATTGTGTTCTTTTATCACTATTATTTATTAGTATTCAATACAGATATATGGCGTACTTTCTTGGCTATTTGTTTGGAATTAAGCACAAAGCTACACGATGGGCTATCTGTGCTCTGCCCACCACGGGTATCGAAACCCGGTTTCTAGCGTTGTAAGTCCGCAGACATACCGCTGTGCCACTGTAAATCCAGAGCAAACATGAAGACTATTTATACACATTTAGCATACTTTCTATTTAATGCGGGAAACACACCACCAATACATTCTTAATAAAAATAACCAAACGTCATACAGCAGAGTTAAAATAACAGTAAAATATTTAGTTACAAAAAAAACATCGATTCGTCAGTAATATCTGCCGAGATTCGGCCGGCTAACAACTAAAAAATTAGTTTCTTAAAAGTTAGTAATTATACTCTCCAAAATATTTACAAGTTCTGTTTCTATTTTACATTAAGAAGCCGTGTTTAACTTCCGAACACAAGATGCGGAAAACCTTTAATATCAGGGTCCCGGATCTTTCGCACAATTTCCTGATCCACTGCCCTCTTTATCAAGTACTTTACGCCAATTACAACATTTACGGCTTCTTCTGGGACTTGGAAGCGTCAGCCTGTCGAGTTTTATCGCACCATAGACAAAACGAGTAATAGAAAGACTGTGTCATTCGTCTATGACGTAAACGTGTGCTGCTAGTTGTCAACAGTCATCCGGAAACGGTAACCACTAGTAACTCCGAGCCAATCGTAATATGATCTTTACACAGAAAGTGAGAAAACAACAAAAATAGATGAAGCGTGACGATACATACACTAGATAGATCAAAGTAAAGTTCAATTGTCATTTGTTATTATGGCTAAATGCCGCCTGAAAATGCAGAACAGTTCTATATAATTATGTCAAACTTCCGAGTCCTATATTTCTCAACGGAATACATGATTTTGTTTGATGTGCAATAAACCGTTGTTCCGTTTAATCAAACTTCCGAGTCCTTTATTTCTCAACGGAATATATGATTTTGTTTGATGTGCAATAAACCGTTGTTCCGTTTAATCAAACTACCGAGTTATTTTCCAACGGAATATATGATTGTGTTTGATGTGCAATAAACCGTTGTTCCGTTTAGTCAAATTTCCGAGTTATTTTCCAACGGAATATATGATTGTGTTTGATGTGCAATAAACCGTTGTTCCATTTAATCAAACTTCCGAGTCCTATATTTCTCAACGGAATACATGATTTTGTTTGATGTGCAATAAACCGTTGTTCCGTTTAATCAAACTTCCGAGTCCTATATTTCCCAACGGAATAATGATTGTAAGAGTTAATTTGAGAGTTAAACGTAGGTTTCTCTTGCTCTTGTTTGAAAAGTTTCGTCCACGTTATTTTTCAGTTAACTTGGTACAAATACTTCCTGAAAATATTTTAAGAGTAAAAAAATAAAACAAAATTTATTACATATCAGAGCACAAAATGGTGGGATTTTGTAAGCAGATTGGTAAAAGAAACAAAACAAAAACAGATACCGTGCTTTGAACTTTTATATATTTGATTCACCAACTTTAAAAGTTTTTGTAAATGCAGTTTTATCCATTTCAAAAGGTTTTCTAAACGGTGTTACACAGTTTCAATGTGTGCACCAATAACAGCGCGGCACACATCGTATCGATTATCAATTCCTGTCCATACTCGGTCTAGAATCCCCGTCACATCAAACATGGTCGCCCTTTCAGCCGTGGGGGCGTTATAATGTGACGGTCAATCCCACTATTCGTTGGTAAAAGAGTAGCCCAAGAGTTGGCGGTGGGTGTTGATGACTAGCTATCTTCCCTCTAGTCTTACACTGCTAAATTAGGGACGGCTAGCGCAGATAGCCCTCGTGTAGCTTTGCGCGAAATTAAAAAAAACAAACAAACAATTCTAGTGACGCTTTGTCGTAAGTCAACCAAATCAGCAATCTTTTCGCTGCACACAACTTTCTTCACAGAGAAAGAAGTCTAGAGGCGTGACTCCTTGGGAACCACGAAATTGGCCTGTTTCTTCCGATACATTGGTCGGAGAATCTGACATTCAAAGCCCTGCAAACAGTCTTGCAGAAGTTCGGGGGCGTTCCATCCTGTTGAGAGATAACGCGCATTTCATCATGATTCTCCTTGTCTGCGGGAACACAAAATGTTCTAGCATGCCCAGATAGGCTTTGCCGTTAATTGTTTGTTCGGCAAAGAAAAATGGCCCAATGATGCGAAATACGATTCCGCATCAAACCGCACCAGACATTAATTAACCTTTGGTGCACCTCGAACACGCTCTTGAACAATGCGTGGATTCGGCTGTTGTTGTCGGTTGACAGTCTAGTCAATGTGGAAGGTTGCCTCGTCTGAGAAAAAAAATGCAGGAACTCCGGTTGGCCATCAACTGTTTGGAGCATGTCACTGACGAACGCCACTCTCTGTGGTTTGATTTCATGTGATAGCTGTATCTTATCACGGACTTTAAGCCTTGTGAACAGTTGACTGCGGAACATTTATAACTGTAGACTACGACGACGAATTGATTTTCGAGGACTTCTAATACAGGACCTGTCTTGTAGCCTCCACAGATACTCCAGGTCTTCCTGTTGACGTCCTTTTTTTGGATACTACCCGTTTCTTTGAATTCCTCGAACCAACCTTGTATGTTGTTTTAATGTGGAGAATCTTTGTTGTATTCTATTGTAAATTATCGTTGGACCAACTTCAGCTCAGCTAACCATAGAACGCACGTTACATTTTCTTGAACGGTAACCCCAATGGGCAAGAACTCTTCAAAAATAACCATGCAACAATGAAACTTGCTTTTGTACCAAACTGAATTGAAGAACATGATAATGACTTCAGCCATCTTCCTTGATCAGCACAATCACCAGATTTTTATCCAAACGAGCATTTTTTGGAATGAACGTAAATCCTCTATAATCAACACCTGCACACCAATCACAAGCTACATTCCTCAATGAATGGGATACAAAGAAACAAGATACTTTCTGTAATCTTGTGGAGTCTATGTCACACCACATCCAGGGTATTATCATGGACAAAAATGATCCAATTGATATTAGATGTACATTCTAATAAAGTGGTCTTCCACTGTAGATATCACAGATGTCTGTCCAAAACATAGGCACAAAGGTTTGTTCCGATTAGTCTTATTCCCGTATCTATTCACAATCCGAAGAAGACAAACATTACAACCAATTAGCAATTCATGGTATCTTTATTTCTAATAAACGATGAGGTCCCTTCTTATAGAACCATAAAAAAAAAGGTCCATTTAATGAACAGTTTACACAAAGAAAACTTTCTTTTACCAATGTTCCTATATACAAAACCAACAACAAAATTAGAACAAATGTTCCTAATCTTGTAAATAAAGTAGAATAACATTTAATTTACTGCTTCTACTTATTTACATGATAATCTCAAGAATAATTCAACAGAACTTGAAAATAAAAGAGAAAACACATTTAATAACAAAATGGTGTTTTATATTTACATATTCCTCAAAAATCTCAATATTGCAGGTGTCAGATACACCAAATACAGAGAGAAACAAATCCATTTCAAAAATCACTCTTTCTTTTAAAAAAACAAAGTAATTGAATACAAATTTCCAGTACCAACAACATCTTAATCTAGTCTACATAATTAGTCTCTTTTTATGACGGATTGCGGCTTTACGTTTATGAACTATCGTTTCCTACAAATTTCCAGTACCAACAACATCTTAATCTAGTCTACATAATTAGTCTCTTTTTATGACGGATTGCGGCTTTACGTTTATGAACTATCGTTTCCTTTTACAAAATACACTTATTTCATATTAAAAGCTTCTTTTATATAAAATAAAATAAAATAAAAGAAACCAAAACCATCTTTGGGGGATACTTAAAAATCAAGACAACCTCACAAAACTGATTATTAATTTATTTAAGTTGAGGCACTGAAAATAGTAATTTTTTTTAATAAATTTATACTGTAACAAATATGCCAAAGAAAGACACAAGTACCATAATTAATTTGTATCGGTAAAAGCTGAAACTGTAGAACACATTTGAATTTTCTTTCCATATCAAAAAGCCTTTTGTATCTGTTTTCTCATTCACATTTCATAGCTAAATGTTTTCATGCTTAAAGTCCATTTAAATAAAAACACAGCAATGGACACCTCATCTTCAGCATGTAGTTAAATTCTAATAAAAGACACATTGATTATATTAAGTGTTGAATCTAAAACGCTGACATACCATTTTGTACTTACAGACATAAGTACTCAACTGAAATCATATTTCCATGAGAAATAAAGACAACGAAAAAGAATCTACTTTAAAATATTTGCAAAACATTTTTATAAAACCTTTGTTCTGGTATTAGTTTTCAAATTGGACACCACAAGATTCCTTTTTTTATTATTTAACATCAATGAGCCGTTTGCAGATCTTTGAGATGTCATACATCTGTATAGATATTTTACATGTATCTATTCTACATTAACACAAATATTAACTGTTTCTTTACACAGCTTATCTTCTAGTTTAAACTGAAATTTCTATGAAACTAATCATTAAATCTACAGAAGTCAGCTATATGAATGTGATGTTTTAAAAAACTTCTGCAGCTGACCAAGCTACTCTCTCATTCACACACACATATATACATGTTATTTCAGTTGACACAACGATCAGGTTTCTCTTTTTCTTTCAGAGTTAAAACATACATAAATGTTCTTTTATCATACACAATGACCACGTTTCTCTTTTTCTTTCAGAGTTAAAACATACATAAATGTTGTTTTATCGTACACAATGACCACGTTTCTCTTTTTCTTTCAGAGTTAAAACATACATAAATGTTGTTTTATCATACACAATGACCACGTTTCTCTCTCTCCCTCTTTCAGAGTTAAAACATACATAAATGTTGTTTTATCATACACAATGACCACGTTTCTCTCCCTCTTTCAGAGTTAAAACATACATAAATGTTGTTTTATCATACACAATGACCACGTTTCTCTCTCTCCGTCCTTCAGATCCACAATACACATAAATGTTATTTTAGCTGACACAACGACAAGTTTTCTTTTTTTCATACGTAAACGTTGTTTAAATGACAAAACTAAGGTGGATTATTTCAATTCTGTACATCAAATATTGCTTATGTTACCTACTCTTCAAAAACTTCTTTGATTGCTATGAATAATTGGCAAAAAAAAAGGTGATAAATACAGAAACCAGCTATATTGTTTTCAAATACACTATCATATAAGTGCAACTTTAAATAGCTTAACCTTAGGCTATTAAATACAGTATTTATTTTTAATGTTGACTGAACGGTTAGAATGAGTAATGTCTTAATATCTGGAACAGAAACAGAAAATATTGCTTTCCTCAGAATATCTAAATATGTGATCAAACTCTACCCATGAGCACTTTTCAGGGTGAATAAAGTGTGCCATGGACTAGTTGGTGTCAAGAAACTCTTTCGTTTCGGTATTAAAAGGGGGGAAGAAATATTTTACGATAGACAGAAGATAAAAGTATTCATTTTTTTCTATAAAGTCACTGGGAAATAGAATTTAATCATTTCCTTACACTGGTGCTTGTCTATCAATTAACATACATGATGATGACATAGTATTTTAGTTACATTGTGTAGATGTGACAGATATGTGTTTTATTTAGCAGAATTACCCACAGTTCAACAAATGTCAGACACAGTTATATAAATTAAAAAATCCATTATGCTAATCAAAATATCACGAGATTGATAAAAGGCTGGTTTTTGATTATTTGTCCTGTTCTAGTCACTTTCATATTTACTAGACCCCCCCGCCCTAAAAATTTTAATAACCTCCCAGCGATAATTTACTTTGAACTCGGTAGGAGTAATTGGAATATATTTATAATTTTGCATATAATGTCCATAATTGAAACTTCTAGTTCCATTTCATCCTTCTCAACTTAAGTAGCTTAATATATGGTTGGTCTGTAATCTCAAACAAATTTTATTTTTCTTCTGCGGGTTTTAATGACAAATGGTTTTATTGGATATGTTTATGACTTTACTATGTGCTGTTTACACATACAATTAGGTTTTGTTTTTCCTATATATATATTCTGTTTGATTTAGAAAATTCCTCCTCTGTTTTCCTACACTGGAAATTACAACATGTCACATTCTATCACAACATTTCTGTTTCGTCTGGAAGAGTGACTATAACACCATCATGATGTCAATGAACTTCAGAAACTTGATAAAAAAAAATTGTTATCATATCAAGAATTCTTCAACCGTTTTATCTAATCCTGGAACTTCATCAAGTGCTATAAACATTAAATTACTTGAAACGTAAAGACAATCCAAGTGTTACTTCAACCGTTTTATCTAATCCTGGAACTTCATCAAGTGCTATAAACATTAAATTACTTGAAACGTAAAGACAATCCAAGTGTTAGATGTATAATTTAGAAGATAAACTAGTAGAAATGAAAAAACAAATAGGAACATGAACAAAATAAACAATAAATGAAATATTCATATATCCTAATAAATAGGATAGATTTATTTAAATACGTAAAATACGTGTTTGCTTGAATATTATGGTTTATATGCTGAAGTTGACGAAGCATTAGAAATCAACATATCTAACCTAAGTGTTAAAAATCACACACACACATCTGCAGCTTACGGAATTTTTATCACAAATTTGACAAGTGTTTGTATAAAACCTTGTGGTAAGCTTTAATTCACTTTGCTGTATTTTTATATATATTACATGTTTCCCTGATTAATCTGGCTGATCACTTTTTTTTTATATACTTCTATAACTACAAGTTACTTTCAAATATGCTTACGATAATTGACTAATCCAAATACATGTTTTGCAGTCGGAGTAGAAAAATAAACAGATAATTCATTAACACAGTTTACCAAACTTTCATACCACAAACGTACCCGGGAGAAAATTCTGATTTCCAAGAATGTCTAAAAACGCATTAAGAACCATTTGAAAATTTGTACGTATACCTCTAACAAAAAAAAAAAAAACAATTATTCCTCTTACGGAACCTTCACATAAAGTATTTCCAATGTTTTAGACAGCTGTATCTACAATTCTAATACTAAGAAGAAATTAAATACATCTTCGTAAAGAATTTTGCAAAAAAAATTTTTATTTCCTATGTACTCTTCAGTGATTGTGTAAAACTGACATGAAGAGCCTTTTTTTTTATTCATACAAATTTGTTCTTTTGTTGCTCCGTTATAAACCATAGTGAGGCAGTTAAGAAATCATGATATTAACTCCATTTTATCACTTTCACTTTGAAACAAAATACATTGAACTTTGTGTGTGTATTCATGTACCAGTTTAAATTAGCATTGTTAATATTTTATTTTATGGATTTCCGAACATTAAATTTATGGCTTTAGGATGACATTTTAGGTTCCATTTTTCTGTCTGTCACGTAAAGTTTATTTTGAAGAAGCTAACTTTGGAAACATTAATCTGCTTTACCGTCAATTCATGACACACATTTATTCTCAATCAATTGATAACTATCGTAAGCTTCTTGTCGGGGCAAACTTGTTACATAATGTACAAATCATATATAAAACTGTTATTCTAATATAAATGGCTATTTAAACTCTTTTTTCTTCATATCATAATTGTGCTCCCAATGGTAATGTGGTCTTTTTTCATATGTTGTTCTGTGTATTCAGCAAGACAGATCACTTAATAATAAAAGTTTTCTTTCTCAGCCCTAGAGAAGTTTGAGAATTCAAGCACATAAATAAAGTTTGTTTCTGTGTTCTTACAATCAGTTCTCTAAACCAGAATATCTCTAAGAAACAAATTGACCACAACATAACTTAGTTCATGAGCTAGGTTCATCAGTTAGTGTAGTGTGGTTAAGGAAACAACTTATAACAATAAATAACGAACAACTTGTCATATAATACTGTTGCTTTCTGTTAAACAACAGTCACACAATTTCTCAGAACAGTTTTGTTGTGTGAAAGAGTTTCTAATACACAGAATCAGGAATGCTGACAGACAGGAACACGTTACTACAACACATTTTATACATATATATTTAAATGTTTGAAAAAATAAAACAGACTACTTAATTTTATCAGATCTTAACACCAGATCACAGAATGTGAAATTCTTAAACATCAGAGAATCAAACAGAATGTCTTTTTCATTTACACCTAGAAAAAAAAATAATTACTTATCTAACATCATAAGATATTTTTCATAAGCCCTTTCAAAGCTGCTACATGCTACTGTACAGCTAATACCTTGAACAAGAATAAACAAAAGTCTGTGTTTTTTTTTATATAAAACCAAACAGATAAAATCATTTCCTACTGATATTTATGAACAAAGACACAGTCATCATATCCATTATTGACTGATCAGAGTTGTACAAGAATTAAGTAGTACACACAGATTAACTAATTAAATTCAGGAATCATTTTAACAGATTTGGTACATACTTTCTCAATTCAAATAAGAACTGCATAAATGTACAATATTGAGCTCCACCAGGTTAACAAAATTTAGAGAAACTCAAGTAACTCAGTACTGAAAAATATTCACCACTAAAGAGGATTTTTAAATATAACGTATTTAACCCCACTTCATTACGCACACTCTCTCTGATCTACATAAGAAAATTTCAAGTATGGCAAAATAGGCTGTTGACAACAGCTCTGGATCATCACTGGAATAAACTTTACCCTTAAACACCTTGCAAATTAGTTCTGCTCCAGAACTTCTAATAGGAAACTGTCTTCTAAGTTACACAGTCTTTGTGTCTAGCTAGGACTTGGCTAAAGTTCTTCTTGTTAACGGACATTCTGATACCACTAATGGAGTTGAAAAGATGTTCAGGATTGATTGTATCAGGCAATTTAGTCAAAAACTCGGCAAGGTGGATAAAGTCCATCTTTAGCAAGATGTCTTCATACATTTTTAAAATACCTGTGGAAAATAACACAAGGGTTCAATTAGATTTTGAAAAGCAACTGACATCAACCCCCCCACCACCAAACACACACACACACACACAGATATTGGCATTTTAAAAGTATACTTTATCTTTGAAAAAAAAACAAATGTTAATAACAACACAATGATTCTTTCAATAACAGCCAAGTCTGCAGAAGGTTAACATTTCCTAACCCTGAAAATGTATTTCCAATAGGTACCTACCTCTCTCACCAAAAGCTATCTTGACCTTGATTTGCCCTCTAGGCACTGCTAAGATTTTTCAACAGTGCACCAGTCTTTTATACCTTCATTTTTGCACCGTTGAAACAACATGTGCTGATCGTGCAACTTCCCTCCACCAATCATGCTGCACCACCTATACTAGCACAGGTAGCTCCCTCTATCATTGTAGAACAATCCTCACTTTTGAGAATTGGCAGACACAAACCAGAAACATCAACAAAATCAGTTTGGAAGAAGGGCAGGAAATGGGTGAGGGAAGGTAAGTACCTATCAGAAACACATTTTCAGTATTAAAAAATGTTAACTTCCAAAATGGTACTACCTTCGTTTACCCAAACCTAGAATCCCACATTGCAAAGGTGGAGGGGCTGGTGAAGGCACAAAAGTAATTAAACAAGTAGAGAACAACTGCTGTAAAAGAACAGGTGTTCCACAATTATAAAAGGTGGTACGCCTGTGAGATATAGCACTAATTCTGGAACAAATATGCTCTTTGTCCAGTAACAAACAAAGTAAGACACATAGGGCAGAACTTAATAGACAGGCACCATGTCATGTAATATAGATTCTACAGGTGAACAACAGATAGTACGTAACAAGCACATGACATAATCATAGTCAGATTAGAAGAAGGTGCCTGGAATCAGAAATAAGAATACGTGGCTAGGGCTAAAGGACTTATATTAAGATAGATAAGTGTGGTCAGCCCGAGCAAAAACATCTGGGGGGAGCACCTTGGATTTATATTAAGATAGATAAGTGTGGTCAGCCCAAGCAAAAACATCTGGGGGAAACACCTTGGATTTATATTAAGATAGATAAGTGTGGTCAGCCCAAGCAAAAACATCTGGGGGAAACACCTTGGATTTATATTAGGATAGATAAGTGTGGTCGGGCCAGAGCAAAAACATCTGGGGGGAGCACCTTGGATTTATATTAAGAGAGCTAAGTGTGGTCGGCCAGAGCAAAAACATCTGGGGGGAGCACCTTGGATTTATATTAAGAGAGCTAAGTGTGGTCAGCACGAGCAAAAACATCTGGGGTAAATGCCTTGTGAAATTATGAAGTATTCCAAGTACGGTTCATCCTGGCAAAAAACATCCAGTGGAAGCTCTTTGCATAAGGTTAATTGATTTATATTTTGAACGTAATGTTTTGAGAGATCAACAAGTGTGGTCCACCCAGACAAAAGCATTCAGGGGAAGCACCTTTTGTTTTATTGAGTATACCAAGTGTGGACCATCTGGGCAGAAAACACCCAGTGGAAGGACAATTTATGTTTCATGACAAATAATTGCGGTTTATCCAGGCAAAATCAACTAGGAGAAGCACCTTGGATTGAGCATATTATGATATTGAATAGCCCTCTTCTCATGGAGTGGGTACATATGACTATGAAGTTTGTTTTATTGTACAAATCTAATATAGATATACACACACCACTGGATCAGTGGCCTGTGGTCTTACAAAAACACTCCATCTCAACGGCGAGCATTATGGAACTATACAAGTTTACTGTCAAGATATAATAGTTAGCATACCAGACCAGGCAACACCCCTCCACCAGGTGGGATTCTGAAACATGATATATATCAACAAATTAATGTAAAAAAGATTAATATGTCGACTTGGCAAAGGCAAACAGACATGTGTAGAATCACCACAGGAGAAATAAGATACCTGCTTGAGGAAGACACAGCTATGTTGTGCAGATAAAGAGTGACAAATGGAGTTGTCCGCACACCAGCCTGAACAATCTCATCCAAAAGTTGGAGGTTGCGAGCAGTTAAAGACATAGTTAGATGACAAATTTAGTGTGAAGAAACATGATTTAGATGGCAACCATCCATTGTCACGTCAGAATATGCCAGTCGTGTGGGTTTACAAACCCATCCAGTAAGCATAATAGGTGAAAAGGTAACGGAAAACAGAGGAATTCCATGGAAGAAGGAGACAGAAATGAGAACCATAAAAGGAGGCAGTATGAGCCATATAACATAGCAGGTAATGAACTGGACAAAGTAGATGATCTGGATCCAAATTGGAGAATAGGTGGGAAAAGGAAGGTAAGGAAATAGGAGAAGAAGCCCAACAACCTTCCCAGGCAGCCAATGTCCTTGAAAGAAAGGCCTGATCTGGAGAATGGATAACATACAAGGAATGGTAAAGGATGTGGGAAACATTAATGGCATAAATATCAGAAAAATGATGACCCCAAGCCAGAAAGGGGAGGAAATAGGTCTTAATGGAAAAGTAGACAAGGAAGACATTGCAAGAGGTTCAAAGGGAGAACTGGATGGGGCATAAACGACAACACTGAGATCCCATACTGATAGAACAAATGAAGGTGGAGGATGGACCATAGAAAAAATTGGAAAAGGAGGGAAATAACCAGGGAAGAGAAGGCCTTCCAGAAGTGAGTGAAAGGAAGATGTTTGACAGGGCAGTCCTAAAAAGAGCAACAGTTGAAACAGACAAACCCTAAACAAACAACCAGATGAAGAACTTGGACAGGTGAGAAATAGAAGGACAGGATGGTTAGAAGCCATGGCCAATTGACCGAAGTCTAAAGTATGACCAAAGCTTCTGGTACATAGACAAGGAGGAAGAGCAAATGGTACACACAAGGAAAGATGCTACACAAGAAGCGAGTCCCAGAGATGAGGCACAGGATTGGACAAAAGTCACATGTGAAGCTGGAGTGTGGTGATGTTGGGATGAAAAATGTCTGATCACAGTTGTCAGAGGAGAAATCAGGACGGAGATAAGGGCAGGGGCTGTAGCTCCACTAAGGGCCAGAGCAAGGGGAACCCTGACTGAGCTGGAAAATATGTAGCAACCAGCAGAAAACAAGAAGGAGTGATCTGGATAAGTGAAAGACCCAGGTGAAGAGTCTGATCAGAGTGTAGGCAAACAGGTGAAGACACCTTTAATCTGGACTGAAAGCATCCACCCCCAGAGCTGAGGGGTGAGGAACTGGAGACCAAAAAAAAGGAAGGAAGTTTGGCATTCCAGCAAGTGGGAAATGCATATATATGTAGATTTCCCAGCTGAGAACACACCCACAGCAAAACAAGAGGATGAAGGGACCACTCCGTGGAGAGAACCTGGTTGGGACATGATAAGTGATCGGCCACAGGATTCATAACTCCGGGAACATGACATGCCAGAACAGTGATGTCATGGTCGTTTGTCTAGTACAGGAGATCCAGAGTCTGAAAACACAGAGATCTAGACTTGGCTCTTCCTTGCTTGGTAATACAGCTGATGACAGTGGAATTATCAAAATGAACCATAATCACCTACCCTCGAAGGAACGAGAGGAAATGATACAGAGCCTGACTCACTGTGAAATGTTCCAGGATATTGAAATGGAGAGTTGCCTCCTGTAAACAGATGAGACGCGGTACGAAGTGGAGGAATGGAAAGTCCCTGTCATGTCACGAAATCAGGTCGGCCCTGATCCCAGGTGAAAGGTAGATGTGATGGTCCAAGGGATCTTGGGGGAAGTTCCACTGGGCAAGAAGAATCCAATGTAGAGAATGCATGTGTGCCCAACCTAAGGGAAAGAGAGCTTCCAAAAAGCCCAAAACCCTAAAAGAGAGAAAATCCCTCATAAAGAGAGAGACGGATATGGTTGGGCCTTCCTGACTGTCTGCTCCATATCCTGGAGCTGAAGTGAAGAAGACTGGGCTCAACTGAAATGGGAAGTGAAGAGAACCCCCACCCAAGCACCTTCTTGAAGAAGTGAGCCGTACGAAGCAACTGACTGGGCACAGGAAGTGGTCAGCAGAAGTCAGTTGTTCATGTAATAAGGAATCCGAAGAACCAGCAAGTGAATATGATGTGCAAAAAAACATACTACTTGACAAAACACAAGTGGCGCTGAAGAAAGATCGAACAGCAGTGCCCAGAACCGAAAGACAAAACCATGTGGATGAATTGAAGAAAAACAATGTGACATTGGGGCAAAAAACCCACCAAAGTGAGAGGTATGACTCCAGAGTGAAGCAAGGTGTCTCCAGATAAGAAAACAGCCAAGAAGGAAGGTTTTTTTATTTTTATGTACTTTGTAGACTTTACACATTTCTACATTTTGTTAGTTCATTAGTAATGAGTACTTTCTCTCAGTATGTTTATTTTACATCTTTGGCTACGCTTCACGACAGTTCTGTGGGTTCTACGGGTTCTTTTCTTTGGGTTTCTCTTTCTGTTTTGCTCCCCCTCTTTTCACCTCCTAGATCTTCTTCCCTCCTCCTCAGGATCGTATTTTGTCCAGTCGTTTTGCTGAGTCTATTCAAGACCTACAACACAAAAAAACTATCGAATGGGTGGTGCCCACTTGGTTGGTATTTTATTCCTATCTATACATGGGAGATTGGAGTCCCATCATAGCAGCAACACTATGAAATTCGACCTCAAACAGAAAACAATAGGTAATACTGAAAGTACAAAACCACTAAAGAAACATAGAAGATAAACGACCCTTAAATATGGAACATACAAGTCCACTCAAAGGATTTATAAGACGAAGGATACAAAGATAAAACTGACCCTAAAGAACATGAGAATAAAAAGATAACCAGCTAAAAATAATAGTTTAACTCTAATCTAATCCCAAATTAGACAAGAATAGTAGTAAAAAAAAAGGAATTTATAAACATATTAGCATTAACAATGAAAAAAGTAAAAATGCAAAAAAACAAAGGAATAATCAAACTCCAAACACAAGTTTGAACTCAACCTAGATGGTAAAAGTATAAAAATCGAATTTACCAAACACTAACACTGAGCAGAGAAGACACGAATGACCTAATTTATCGAGTGCAGAAATTATGTCAATCCACACAAGCTCATGTAAAGTCACTGAACATAAGTATTTCTATAGGAACAAAGAAATACACAATGAAAACTTACCACAGATCTCCTGTGAAAAGAACAATACCTAACCCAACAGATTATGTGGAGGCATGGTAACAGGTGGAAAGTGCAGTAGAAAGAAAATTTCCACACAGTATCTATATCCCTCTTCACAAAAATCATAACATGAAAGGAAAAACTGTTGGCTGAATGTAAAACATGAACTCCCCTCAAATTAAAGCCTATGTTTCCTCATCAGATATCGTCAACCCTGAGACCTGGGGATTAGTATTCTACTTATGGCAGGAATTTCAACATCTGCCATATTAAATCTCGAATTCATATGAATAAAGTGGAATTCGGGAACAGAAACATTTCTAAAACAAACGAGTAGAAACAATGGAAATCAAACACAAGAAGTCGAAATTTGTGAAGTTGAAACTGATATTAAGTTGTGATGAAGCATAATCAAAATCTCAACATATGATTCTGAACCTACAGTACAACCATTAGTAAATCATTCAGATATGGAGACCAAATGGGCTTTTCTACACCTTTGTCAAGACTTCAGCTCTGATACATTTATGTTTATAAATTTAACTAATGAATTTCAATGTATTCCTAAATTGGGGCTACTTTGAACAACCTATTTCTCTCAAATTCTGTTTAGTAATACCGCTTCTTTGGGGTTAAACTGAACACTAAACTTTGTTTTTTTTTTAAAACCTGCTTCAATGTGGAAAAACACTCATGTACGGCACTACTGTTCTAGTGTACTAGTAACTTCAATATCATATCAGTACACTGAGATGTCTTAACAAACACCATAGGTTTCATTTATGATATTTTACTAAAACACAATAGGATCAATCTACAACAACAATGTATTACGACAAGCAAAAATTAAAGATGTCACTCATATTCTAGTTGACTAGTACATTTTTTAACATATCAATAAGTACATTGAAATGTCTTAAACATACTGGGTACAATCTACATCAATGTCTTTGCAAAAGGCTCAAATTCTGTTTCTGTGGACATTACATCTCCTCATCTTGCCTCATTAGTATAACTCAACTCATTCATTAACTGGTTAAATGCAATGGATTCCTCATCAGGCACTGTATATGTGTTTCATGCAGGCTTCTCATAGATGCTTTACGAGTTCCTCCAGAATGGATTCTTCATCAGGGACTGTGAGGAACTCGTAAAGCATCTATGAGAAGCCTGCATGAAACACATATCAGAATGGATTCTTCATCAGGCACTGTGAGGAACTCGTAAAGCATCTATGAGAAGCCTGCATGAAACACATATCAGAAATGGAATCTGAATCAAATTTGGCCAGTTTTCCAATATGGTGTTTTTGACCATTGCTGTTTCTCACCTCAAACTGTAGAAACAGTCTTCATTTATTATAATATGAGAAACACTGACAGGTATAGGAATGCTGGGGCTAATTTGAACAACATTTAGAGTAGCCCCAATTTGACACCTAAGCAGTGGCAAAATTATTAGATATTATACTGCAATTTACTATTTTTATTAAACTATTTATGGATAAGGATACGGGTCCAAAGTCAGTTACTTAACACCTAAGCCACAATTAAAAGGCTTATAATTGTATAGAAGTTTACAACAATATAAAAACCTGACATGAAAGCAGCCACTTTAAACCATTTTTTCAAGACTACACTAGGATCCCTTACATAAATATATAATATTTATTTGTTCTGTAAATGCTAAAAACATCACTAAATATTAAAAAAATTATTTTAATATTTCAGTGCTATAGATATTGGTTTAAACATTTTCATATAAGTTGTTCGAAGTAACTCTGGCTGACATGTTAAAACACAGCTTCCTGCTTGGAAAAAATGCAAATTGCTGATTATCATACAGCAATCGAAATAATTTTTCAAAAGATTGTTATTTTATCGTTTTAATTTAAATGTTGAACAATTCCTATATACTCCAGGAGAGCTTAAGTACAGCAATAAAATAAAACTAAATGCACCCATTAACTGTAAGAATAAGTACTGTGTAATTGTCTTTTATGATATGCAGTCACTCAAGAAAAAGGGTAATTTAGATTTATTTCACATTTTCCAACTTCTCATTTTACCCTGCACTGCCAATTTTGCTACAGTTAGTGTTAGCAAAGAGAAAATAATAGATAAAACATAGTTTTACTAAGAAAAAACTTTCAATATTCATTTAGGAGATTCTAGATGTAAATAAAATGAAATACGGAAACTGTAAAATCAAAAGAAGTATTTTTATTCTTAGTATAAAAATCACCTTTCGCTCAGACTGACTCAGTAAAAGCTTCACGAATTCACAGTAAAATACTTAACTAAAAAATTTGATTTTTTTTGTCTATAAGAAACTTGTAATGTTAACTAAAAGCTTGCCAAATTTCATGAAGATATATTTTACATTAAGATCAGTATATATAGTTTCATGGTTATATGCTGGTTACAATATCAGTCAAAAATAGTCAAGCCTGGTCATGTAATACAAACTTCTGAACAAAAATTTAAGATCACACTTACCTAAAGCAGTTCTAAAGAGAAATTCTTCTCCATCTCTGAAGAAAATATCCCACACCCTACACGCCACATCAAGTGGAAGAGATCGACTGAACAGAGTATACACCCTAAAAGATGTAGAAGTAAGATGGCTATATCTTTGCTTACAATATATTATCTTATAAAAGTAACTCAATCACATATGTTCAAAAGTTAAAAACTACTGGAGAAAGTTGTTTAGTGATGGTAATGATCTTAAGACTGAAAATTGTATCACTCAGGACACAGCCCTGTGTCCAAGGTTAAGAATTCAGAATGTTGATTCCAAATAAAAATGGGCAAGTGGCCACGGAGTAATGGAAGCCCCAGAAAATATTAACATCCGCGTGATCTCATAATCTTTCACAAGATCAAAAAATTACAAAAACAAAGTTGCTCCCTTTATTAATTTTTTCTTGTGGAATCTGCAAGTGTCTCACTGGGTGCTGAAGAGAAGGTTGTTTGATTCAGTGAACCAAAACATTATAGAGACAGCCTGTTAAAGTAATAGGCTTATAATTAGAATGATAATAACCCACCACTATAAACTTAAAAATTTCCACTCCTTCTAGATCTGGTTGAAAATGATCAGAAGAGATGACCTAAAGAGGCAGGAGAGCAGTGGCATAGTATGTCATGAATGTCCTCCAATTTAACTGATGTACTTCTGGACTTGAAGAGCCATTTTGAGATTCACCATAGTGAGTAGTCTATTGTAATCCCAACAATAAACAGACCAAAGAAAAGAAAGGAACTATTTTAGTCCATGTCTCAGTTGTCAAGAATGCATGAGAATAGATGGGAATGATAAAATGATGAAAAAGTACTCTCCAAAAGTTTTAACAATTACCTGTAAATCAGCTATCTCTTGGCCTGGGCTTCCAAGCCTGAAAGTGAAAGCATGTAGATTTCCCATTCATCTTGTAAACTGGATCCAGTTCTCAGGATGAGCCATACAAAAGGCAATCATATTTCTAAGAGTGGAGTGACTACTATAAATACCCAAGACACTCTTTTTGATCCTGTTAACTTCCTGGCAGTTTGAATTCCACCATGGATGAAGTTTTAGGAATGGTGATTGCAATTACCTGGACAAAGTGACAGCCACTACCTTCATGCAATCATTAACTGATGGTAAGATAATAATGGTGGGGGTCAAGTTCTGACACGATGGTTAAGAATAGCAAACTGGCCTTCCAAATTTCTACAGTGGCACACAACTCGAATGCCATTAACTGTGGCCAATATCTCTCTGAGGAATGAGGAAATTAAAACTACCACATGTATCACTGTCTACTTTCCAGAGAAAGGATGAGAATAGAAAAGGTGAACAAACAAACAGTCCAATTCTATTCCTCAACGAAGATCACTTTTACTTTACGCTGTCTTTGTTTAACAAAGAAAACTGCCAAATGGTGAAGTAAATGGTGGGTTTTCAAAATGTCTCCACTAAGGAGGTGGTGAGAATCAATGAAAGCCTTGATACAATCTGCACAGGAGTAAAAAGCTTGACATTTCCTTTGAAGAATCGTTACCATTTTTGAAATGTAACACTCAGGGTAGGTACCCTGAATTCAAGGGTAAAAAGGTAATAAATTACACAATTAATAGTTTTCAAATTATAATTTAGTTATTTATAAAATACCTAATGATATTTAGATTCACATATACATAGCGGAGAGCGAGAGAAAACAAGAATGATAGAATTAAAGACTTTTAAGCAACAAAGAAAAATTGATAATAACAGCGCACATCCTACTAATTGACTGAACGATGTTTTATTAATATTGGAGAAACATAATGGCTGTAACTAAGCTTCTGGAAAAATGGAAACCGAGTCCAGATAAGATCTGAACCCAAGTCTCTGCTTGGAAAGCAAATGATTTAACAAACTAAACTACTACATCTTAAATGCTGAAATCTTCACTTTTTACTTTAGTTGATTATTAGGCATCTGGATGGCAAACAGTTAGAAAATTAATTCCTGCTAGGTCTGAAATTTTAGTGCTGATGTGACTGCATACGTGCAGTCTGTTACTTGATGTCATATGCCTGAGGCTAACCTGTATTCAAACCCGGTTTCTAGCACTGTAAGTCTGCAGACATACTACTGTGCCACTGAAGGGAAGTTTGAAATGTGATAAAATACAAAAGAAAACTTCCATACAGGTTAGCCTCAGGCATATGACATCAAGTAACAGACTGCACGTATGCTTTATAAACATTAAATTGACTTTGTACTGTTAAAACTTATTGCAGTATAGTGTTTCAGATTAGATTTACTGAGGTTAACAACTTTTAAGTAAGGAATTAAAGCTTTTCAAACATTTTTATAATGATATTTTGTAGAAGATTTGAAAATAGTAAAGTTTAAGAAGTCAACATTTTTATTAATGGCAAATTACAAATGACAAAATATAGATAAATAAAACGCACCAATCCACTAAATACAGGTCAGATGTAAGGTTCTGTTTTTTAAAGTGGCTGTTGAGCTTTGCCAAGTTTTCACTGAAAAATTCTTCATATACAGCATAATAAATTTTCATCTGAAATGAAAAAGTTGAGAAAACCATTGACAACAACAGGAAAAAAGAGTATCCATGAACTAAAAATACAAGAACAATTTTTCAATCTTAATTAAAGCTGAAAATTTCTCCTAAAAGTGAACTAATTACGGCCAAGTTAAGTAAACATAGTTGAATATCCAACTCTTTAACGTCAGAAGAATCTAAATCCACCAAGTTGATGCACCTGTTTTTTTAAATAACAAAATTTCTTTGTTTGTAATTAAGCACAAAGCTACACAATGGGCTATCTGTGCTCTGCCCACCACGGGTATCGAAACCCGAGGTTTGGCGTTGTAAGTCCGCAGACATACTGCTGTGCCACTGGGGGGCTAAATAGCAAAATACAAGTCCTGAAACAATTTATATGAAATTTGGAACACATCTTTTTTTTTACTTGGACTTCCTATGTTTTATATTCTTAACCCAAAACTGTAAAGGTATTATTAAAGGTTTTAAATAAAACTATAAATTTTTGTGTTTTTATTGTAATAATACTCTAGATAATTTGATTATTTA